TGGTGAACCGTCTGAGGGGAGCAGAGACACCCCTGGGGGCCGGTATGGAGCATCCTGGGGCCGGGACTCCTGTGTCAGAGGCCAGGGGATGAGGCAGAATGAAGTGGGGGACACTGGGTTCCCACCTGCACTACTATTCTGTCAGTTGGGGATTGTGTCAGCTCAGGTGCCACCCTGCCCTGGATGTGATACAGGGAACACCTGAGGCTCAGCAAGGGCCAAGCACATGTGTATTGAAGAGACTGAAATCCCAAGTGTATGGCTGTCATCTGCACCTGGACCTAGAAGGCCCTACCTTCCTTTCTCCTACAGCAGTGATGGAGACACAGACAGTGTCAGCACCATGGTGGTTCACGATGTTGAGGAGATAGCTGGGACCCAGCCTCCATATGGGGGTGGCACCATGGTGGTCCAGCGTGTAAGTGAGCCTACCACCTTCCCTACACCTGTGGCAAACCCCCCAACCCCAGTGCCAACTTTGCCCTCTGTTCTGCAGACTCCCGAGGAGGAACGAAGCCTGTTGCATGCTGACAGCAATGGCTACACGAACCTTCCGGATGTGGTCCAGCCCAGTCACTCCCCCACTGAGAACAGCAAAGGTCAAAGTCCCCCTTCCAAGGATGGAGGCAGTGATGTAAGTGGGCTGGAGCAGGTCCATGGGGTGTGAGAAGTACCCTGGAAATATACAGGAGAGCCAGTGGTGTTGGGGACAGTGCGGAAAGTGGGGCAGAACACCACAAACTTCTCAGTGGGGGCCTGGGAGAGCTGGGCCACAGTCTGGCATCACCCTTGTTTGCCTGATTGCTGCTCCTCTCCCACAGTACCAGTCTCGTGGGCTGGTAAAGGCCCCTGGCAAGAGTTCGTTCACCATGTTTGTGGACCTAGGAATCTACCAGCCTGGAGGCAGTGGGGATACCATCCCCATCACAGGTAAGGATGTGGGGACAGATCTGCCTTGAGCTAAGGTCCAGAGTAGGCCTGGAGAGGGTCACAGATGTCTGAGGACATGGTTTTACAAAGCATAGATAGTGGGCTTCTCTTTTGGGTCCTGGCTCCTACCCTAGCACAGAGGTAAAGGAAGGTTTCTGAGCACCCCCAACAGAGGATGCAAAAGTTCAGAGTGGCCAAGGGGCCTGGGCAAATATGAAACTGACAAGTAGTGCAGTTAGTCCTTCATCCAGGTCTTTCGGCTTCAGGCTGGGCCCTTTCCTCTCTTGCATGCACCTCCTCTGTTCTGTGGCCCTTCCAGTCCCTCCTGAATATTCTGAGGTGCCAAGGCCAGAGGTAGGGGCACTGAGGTAAAGAAAAACTTGTGAGAATCCTGCAGCCCAAACCCCTTTCCCTCCTGACAGCTCTAGTGGGAGAGGGAACTCGACTCGAACAGCTGCAGTACGATGTGAGGAAAGGCTCGGTAGTTAATGTGAACCCTACCAACACGCGGGCTCACAGTGAAACTCCTGAGATTCGGAAGTACAAGAAGCGATTCAATTCTGAGATCCTGTGTGCAGCTCTTTGGGGTAGGCTGGGCTGAAGGGCGAGGAGGGGCCTGAGTGTATCTCCATGCTTCTGTTCAGGTAAGTGCCTGGGCTCTGGGCCTGACCTGTACAAGGGATCCTGTTGCAGGGGTCAACCTGCTGGTGGGTACAGAGAACGGGCTAATGTTGCTGGACCGAAGCGGGCAGGGCAAGGTGTATGGACTCATTGGGCGGCGACGCTTCCAGCAAATGGATGTACTGGAGGGCCTCAACTTGCTCATCACCATCTCAGGTATGTGTGCCGGCTCCTCAGCCCTGCCACCATCTTTAGCCTGGGAGGAAGGTGGCCTTGGCCTAGGAGCTGGACTGTAGAGCCACACTTTCTCACTCCTTGTGGTATGCAAACAGGGTGGTGAAGGGCAGCACTGGGCCTCCAATGAGGACAGGAGAGTGTGTGTGCATGTGGATGTGTGTGTGGATGTGTGTCCATCCCTCAGGGAAAAGGAACAAACTACGGGTGTATTACCTGTCCTGGCTCCGGAACAAGATCCTGCACAATGACCCAGAGGTGGAGAAGAAGCAGGGCTGGACCACTGTGGGGGACATGGAGGGCTGCGGACATTACCGAGTTGGTGAGGATGTCATACAGGATGGCCTGGGAGAAATGGGGCCTGAGTAAAATGCCAGGGAAGCTTTGAAACTGGAGATGGGGCTTGGGGCAGCAAGGTGAGAGACTTGGGAGCCTCAGAAGGAGAGTCCCTAACCCTGTCTTTTTTCTTGCCCCCAGTGAAATACGAGCGCATTAAGTTCCTTGTCATTGCCCTGAAGAATTCTGTGGAGGTATATGCCTGGGCCCCCAAGCCCTACCACAAATTCATGGCCTTCAAGGTAATCCCAGCCACAGCCCCCCAATACTGTTAGTTTTTTTTATTCCTCCCATTATTGTTTGAGGTCTAGCTCCTGTCTGTCCCCTCTGAGCTCTTCTCTCCTTCACAGTCCTTTGCTGACCTCCCTCACCGCCCTCTGCTGGTCGACCTGACGGTAGAGGAGGGACAGCGGCTTAAGGTCATCTATGGCTCCAGTGCTGGCTTCCATGCTGTGGATGTTGACTCTGGCAACAGCTATGACATCTACATCCCTGTGCATGTGAGCTTGGCAGAGCTGCAGGGAGCGTGGGGCCTCAGAATCTGGACACCAGACCCAGGGATACCAGTGCACCCTCTCCTCCCCAGATCCAGAGCCAGATTACACCCCATGCCATCATCTTCCTCCCCAACACCGATGGCATGGAGATGCTGCTGTGCTATGAAGATGAGGGTGTCTATGTCAACACCTATGGGCGGATCATTAAGGATGTGGTGCTGCAGTGGGGAGAGATGCCCACCTCTGTAGGTGAGTGAAGGGCTGTCTTGTAAGCTGCTTGCCCCTGAGGTGACCCATGAATGCAGTCATTCACACACTGCTTTCTCCCACCATCTTCCTGCAGCCTACATCTGCTCCAACCAGATAATGGGCTGGGGTGAGAAAGCCATTGAGATCCGCTCTGTGGAGACAGGACACCTAGATGGCGTCTTCATGCACAAACGGGCCCAGAGGCTCAAGTTCCTGTGTGAGCGGAATGACAAGGTGGGAGGCTCTTGCCAAGCCCCATGCAAGGCTAGTTCCTAGACTCTGGACCTTGGGCGGGACTCTGGGGAGAGGATGATTGTGGCGTCTTCCTGAAATCGGCCCTCTTGGCAGCAGAACATGTAGTTACAGCCTCTGTCCTTCCTCTGCTTTGGCTCTGAGCTGCCTCCACCCCAGAGATCTGGTGGCACAGCTCTGTCTCCCTGTGGCAGGAAGGACATCCTGAGCCCATCTGCAGTCAGTCTCTCCATGCCCGTTTTGGTGGTGATCCCTCAGGGTCTGCACATTCTAGCAAGCACTGTACTGAGCCACATCCGCAGCTCTTCCCTCTTTCCCTTTCTCTCTCTCCCAGTTAATTGAGCTCTCAGGCCATCCCCCAGCCCTTGGTGACTTCTCCCCCTGCCCATCTAGGTATTTTTTGCCTCTGTCCGCTCGGGGGGCAGCAGCCAAGTTTACTTCATGACCCTGAACCGGAACTGCATTATGAACTGGTGATGGCCGGGCTGGGGCCACCCACACTGGACCAGCTCCTCCAGCCGGATCTCCCCAGCTGCCCCCATTCTCTTCCCTGGGCTTTTGCTTTTATTGGTTTGATTCACTGGAGCCTGCTGGGAACGTGACCTCTGAAACCCCCCCCCATGCTTTTGTGATCATGTGACCATCCTTTTCCCCAACATGTTCTCTTCCTTAAACTGTGCTTGTCCCCAACTTCTGGGGAAGGACACAGCTTCTTACCAGGAATAGAGTGGGTCCTCCCTGCCCCCTTTCTCTACTTCAGAGAGTGCTTGGGGCTTAGACCCCCTTACCCCACTGCTGCTGACTGGGCAGGGCCCTGGACCCCTTTATTTGCACGTCAGGGGAGCCGGCTCCCCCCTTGAATGTACCAGACTCTGGGGGGGGTCACTGGGCCCTAAGTTTTTGGGGGGGTCACCAGCCACTCCAGGGGCAGGGACCATTTCCTCATTTTCTGAAAGCACTTTAACGATTCCTTTCTTCTTCAAACACCAGGGAATGGAGGGGGGACCCCCACCAACCAAAACATTCCCCCTTTACCAGCCCCTTTCTTTTCTGGCCTCTCCCCTTCCCTGGTGGAGCGAGGGAGCAGGGAGCTCTCACCCTCCACACACCTCTTTGCTTGCATCTGTATATAGTGTGAGCAGCAAGTAGCCCTTCTCTTCCCTCCCCTTCCCCTCCTCAATGTAGTGGCCTTGGATATCCCGTTTGTTAATAAAGACAGTTCAACCAGCTCCTACCATTTCAGGCCCTAGATTATTCTGTTTCCTCTCAGAACCCTGGTGCTAGCCAGGGAGCCTGCAGTTAGAATAGAAGGGGTAGGGATAGGGGGTCTGTTAAGTGAGTCTTATGGGGGCAGACTGAGGTACATGGTGCTTGGCCAAAAAACCTAGAAGACTTGCCTGAGGGAGAGCCAGGCATCCTCAGCCCTAAACCTGTGGGTTTCACTGAGGGTGTATGGTCCCCACCCACACAGAACAGCCAGGCCAGAGGAGCCCAAGATTTCTGTAAGCAGAAATCCCCATAATTGATACCAGTTGAATAAGATTGTCTAGATGCTCATAGTCCTAATGAGATGTGATGGTGCACATCTATAATCCCAGCACTGCAGGCTGCACTACAGGCTGCACCTGGAAGATCTTGGAGTGTTCAAGGCAAGCATGAGCTGCGCAGACCTTGTCTCAAAAAAACCCCAAACTCAAAAAACTCATGGGCCAAAAGAAAGAGTGAAGGGAGGTCAGCGGTGAAGCCTCACTCTCAAGGATTGGTACCAAGGGTCTGAGTCCATCGGCCCCACCTCTGACCCCAGTACCGGAGCCAGCCTACTCACACGGGCACATTCATTTCCTATTGGGAAGTTAACATTTATTGTCAGCAGTGGGAAGAGATCATGATTAGTGCCAGCAGCTTGTTTCTCAAAAATCTATTTCCTGTGGAAGTGGGTGGGAAAGTTGGTCTGCAGGCACAGGTTCAAGGTTGGATACAGGGTGGGTAGGGAAGATCGGGCACTTGGTTGAAGTAGCCCCCAAGGAAGATGAGGCTGGAGCCTGCGCTGAAGAGCACCAGAGCGGCCCAGAAACACACGCTGTCAAGGGCCTTTCCCATGCGAACCCAGTCGGACACCTCCTGGGAAAAGGAGAGCACGAGCTGAGTCCCTGAAGATAGGGGCTTGAGGTGGGCTGGGGGTGGGTGCTGCGGGGAGTCCTCTCTGGCTTCTGCCTCACCTCGCCGATGGTCTCTTGGTCCCGCGTGCTCTCGGCCACGAAGTTCACAGCATCCACACAGCAGCGGATCTCGGGGGCTGCAGCGCTCAGGCTCTGGCAGAGAGCAGCTGGTGGGGGCGGCACCAGGAGGGGTCATTAAGAGGGCATCTCCCTCTGCGGGTGCCCTGTTGGCCTGCTGAGGTCAGTGTGCTCACCGGTCCACGTTCCATGCCGGTGCCTCTGTCCCTCAAACACGAGCTCGCTCCGCGGCTTTTTCAGAATCAGCTCCTCTGCTCGGAGAAGTATGCCCACTGAGGACGCCCGCCTAGTGGACGGAGCGGCTTGGGAAGCCTCGGGGGGCGGTGCTGAGCCCAGGACCCTCGGCAGCAGCTCCAATAAAACCTGGGTGGGAGGGCGGGGATCAACTGTAAGCACCGCCCCACCCCAGGGTCCCGCTATCTGAACCCTGGGCTGCCCCAGGTCCAGCCTTACATGGCGTAGCCGCGGGGACGTGGCATGAGTGGTGGGCGTCCGCAGAGACACATTGAGCACAATGACGCAATTCATGACAATGAGGGTGGCGACCACCATGACGAAAATGAGGTACCTGAGAGGAGTCCAGGATGCGTGACTTAGCGTCCCAGCTTCTCTGACCTCAGCACCTCCCCACTCCCTCAAGCTGGTCCTCTGACCTCACAAACACCTCTCTACAAGGGGGTGGGGCTAAGCCTCCCCCACCCCACCCCCCAGCTGCAGGCATTTAGTTAGGCCAACCACTTCCGACCCTTCTACCATTCCTACCACCTGCGGCAGCCATGAAGGGGACCCCCAGCTCCCTGGACACCCTGCTGTGGGTCTACCGCTATCACAGCTCCACCGAGGTGAGACTACTCAAAAAGCAGCATCTGGAGAACCTTTAGGGAGGTGCCTCCGCCTTGCCCCTGCACTGTGACCCCACAGCTCCACTGCCCCTGCTCCTCCAGGTGGCTCTCCAGCCCCCGATTCTATCTTCCCTGGAACTTGCGGTGGCTGCCGCACATGAATATCTGGAGCAGAGGTTCGAAGAACTGAAGTCCCTGGAGCTGCAGGAGCCCAAGGAGCCCACCCTAGGGCTGGTGCTGAGAGAAGCCGCAGCCAGCCTCATGAGCTTCACTGCCACTTTGTTAGAGGTGTGGGGCTGTGGTGGGGTGGGAGGTAAGAAAGTGTGGGGAGAAGAGGCACCAGGGAAGAGGGCTATAGGATCTGGACAAGAATCCTCACGCCTTCACTAGCCCCTGTACCCCCAATGCAGATATCAGCCCTTTGGCTACAGCAGGAAGCAGGAGGACTGGATCGTGGTGACAACGGCACAGACCCAGCTGCACATGCTGGAGATCCTGGTGGAGCGCTGGCCCGGGTAGCTCAGGCGGCCCAGCATGGGGCTGTGCGAGCTGGGGCAGCAGCAAGCTGGAGCTCTCGGCTCTTGGTGCAGGGGCTGAGGCTGTGCCTGTGTGGACGGGGCCTGCAGGGGTCCACTTCATTCCTGCAACAGTGGCGATGCCAGCTAGGCCATGGAATCCCCAGAGAACCAGTGAGTTTGGGGTGAGGACCGTGTCCATTAGGGGCCAGGGATGGGGCTGAGGAGACGCTGAGCTGGACTGTCCCCCAACAGAGACACTCAGGAGACCTTACGGTGGCATCCAGCAGCAGTGAGGACACAGGACCAGAGCACCCATTGCAACCCTAGCTCCATCCCATGTCTAAATAAAGTCCATGAGGGGTGGAAACAGCCAGTTTCTGCTAGAATCACAAGGTTTTGGCTGCATCCTTCCCAGGCCACTCCATATTCCCACCCTCGCAAGAGTGACCCCAAGACCCACTGTGTCCTCACTTGCCCAGCAGCGGTACACTCAGAGATGTCTCCGGGATTTTCTGAGCAATTAGGAACAAGAAGACGGTCTGGGCCAGCAGGACGTTGATAGAGACGGTGCATTTCTGGCCACCAGCTGGAGAGAGCACCCAGTGAGAGTGGCCCCAACCCAGGGAGCAAGCCCTAGTGTAGATTTGGGATCACCACTTACCCTGGGCTGGCAGGAAGTAGGCCAGCACCACCAGGCCAGAAATGAGCACACAAGGCACAATGATGTTAATGACATAGAAGAGTGGCTTCCGACGGATGATGAGTGTGTAGATGACATCAGTTTCTCCTTGGTGGTCAGCAGAGCCACCACCATGGGAACGGATCACCCCAGGGCAAAAATCAATGGCCCACTCACCGTTCTCTGCAGGACGGGAGACACAGTCAGCTTGCTCTCAGAGGTGTGGCTCGCCATGCTGCACTCTGGCCACCACCCAAACCTGCAACTCCAGGCCGAGGAGGAGGATGCAGCTGTGTGGGCTGGGGTGGACAGCTTGGACTGAGGGCTGGTGGGGTGGGGGCAATTCAGGTAGAAAGGACATTCCCGCTGAGGGTATGAGACCTTAAGTAAGGAGACAGGGCTAGTGTGACGGTTAAGAATGACTTCCAAAGATGGGCAAGTGGAGCTGGGTTGCTGACAATTTCTGTGGTGTGTGTGTGTGTGTGTGTGTGTGTGAGAGAGAGAGAGAGAGAGAGAGAGAGAGAGAGAGAGAGAGAGAGAGAGAGATCTGGGGAAACCTTGCTCTGAAAGTCCTTTTTGGAACCCTTCTGGAAGCTGGCTTTTTAGAGCATGAGGGAGTTTTCACCAGTAAAGGCTTCAGTGTCGATATCGATCTTGCTGATGGTTTCACCATTGTCATCCACGGCAAAGATGAATTCCACTTCTTTGGCACTGTAAGTCTGAGAGCTGCAAAACCAGGACCAAGGTTCCAGGCCCAGAAGTTTGAACCTGATAACAAGACTCCACCTCTTTACCCTGGCCCTATCTGCACATCTTAGTTTCCGTCCTTACTGTATGTTTTGGTTTTTGCAATACTGAGGACTGAACTGACTGTACTTCTGGGTTACATCCCCAGTCCTTTGTGTTTGTTTTTTGAGACAGAGTCTGTCTATATTGCCCAGGCTGGTCTCCAACTCTTGGGTCCAAGTGATCATTCTGACTCCACCTCCTGAGTAGCTGGGACTACAGCCTAAGGACATTCTTTAAAACCAGCTGCAGTGATCCACCCCACCTCAAAACTGGCTCAGCCTCCAGACAAACCCTGGAGATCCCACTTGTCTATCTTGCCAGCCCCCTGCACAGGCCCTTCCCAGGATCGGGGAAAGTGTTGAATAACTCCTCCCACCGGAAAATGAGTGAGCAGTTCTGCCAGTCGAAGGGGAAATAGGTGACTTCCACTGCGCAGGTGCTGCGGTAGATGGCTGGGGGCAACCAGGTCACATAACCGCCCTCGTAGATCAGCACATTGGCATCGTAGGCCACGCCAAACTGGCCATCAATACTGTGGGCCCAAGAAAACCGAGGTATTTCACAGGTCTGACAAACCTGCATTCAAGCAATACTTGTTCCAAGCAAATCTAGCACACAGACATACACACAGATACACAGACACACACACACACACACACACACACACACACATACACACACACCATCCCTGAGGCTGCTGCCCAGCCTGGCACCCTTACTGACAGCCCTTACTTGTTTTCTAGCACAATCTCTGGTAGCCATACATGGTCAGAAGGGACTCGCAGGGTTTGTAGGCCCCCAAAGTCATCCTTGCTATAGTTGAGTCGGTAATCCTGCCAGTCCTGAGGAGAGATGGAAGAACATTTCCTGTGCATTTCCCACCTGGTGCTGCCAAAGAGGTCTTTGGAAGAAAGGGTAAATCCCACACTGCTCCCCAGGTTTGACTCACAATTCCAATCCAGACATTAGTAGTGAGGGTCTCCTCCTTTTCGTTCTGCAGCAGAGATTGAGGTGATTAAAGTCTAATTTGGGGCCAGAAGCGAGCATTAGAACAAAGCTCAGCAGCTAGGGACCATGAGTGGGATCTGAGGCTCTGGGTGGGGGTAGAGCATCTTACCAGTGAAATAAGGTTGGTCAGGGTGACCTTGAGGCTGATGGTGACAGTGTCCTCGGGCCCCCTCACGGGCCGGCATGCTGGGTCATAGTTGTCGAAGAGATGGTGATAAAGACTCAGCTCCTCATTTTTCCCCTCACTGCTGCCTGTGATGGGGTCAGAAAAGAAGAATCACCGGACTGGGGGAGGCAATAGGCCCTGTCTGCCCCTCAGGGTCTCCATAGGTCCCTGAGCTGTGTATCTTTTTGTGTCTGTCTCCTGAGCCACTGACATTATGCACCAGGACCAAATACATAGTGCCTTTATCTCTGTCTTTATCCCTGTCCCTTCACGTTGGTGTCTGTCCACTTGCCTCCCCAACCCCATTCCTACCAAGGAGCCCCAAGAGCAGTAGGGCACCGAGCAGAGCCCCTGTCATCCTGCTGTCTGCTTCTCTGGGTTATTCTGAGCTCTGGCAGGCTTGGGTGCCTGTGGGAGGGGGAGGAGGGTGTTAGTTCCGGGCTGGGTTAGGGGACTGTCACCTAATCCTTCTATCTATCTGCTGTAGCTGGGGACGTTTTGGCTGCTTCCAGAGGCAGCTGCCCCATCCTGGGCTCCCTGCCCACACCCCATCCCAGCATCCTTTGCCCCATCTTCGGCCAGCTCCCCAGCTGCAGATCTGTGTCTCCTGAGGGAGCAGGCTTCTAAGAGCACCTGGAGACATTCGCCTGCAGCTGGGGCCAGGGATACGCTTGCAGTGCACACCGGTGGCACCCTTTGAGCAAGCTGCACTTTGCAGGTGACTATGCTAGAAGAACATCTCTGGGGCTGTGAACACCCCTCACCTCCAGTACTCACCCATGGGGAACATACGCTGTCACTGTCGCACCCACAGCCTGCCCATGGGCACACTAACGCAGATTGTATCAGCAGAGTTAGGTAAGAATAAAACTCCCTAGATACCTGGTATTGAAAGCAGCACTCACCGAGGTCTAACATGCTGTGCAACGCAGGTCCCCCACTTACTTCCACATAACTTGAACCCCCTTGTCAGCCCACCCCTGGGTCTGACACTTGCCAGGCTTATTTCTCCTTGCCATTCCCGGCTGCCACCTTGTGGCCATTGATGATAGTATCATTGTCCCCAACCTGCATGCACAGGGAGTACACAATTGATCCTCTTAAGATCTCTTTCATGGGTCATCTGGCAAAGAAACATGCTTTAGGAAGTTGAGAAGGAGAGTTTTTTGGGTTTTTTGTTTGGTTTTGGCTACTCTAGGCTACCTTAAGGGCAGGCTGGTACAGCTTCTGGAGCTGGGAATCGAACCATGGTCCTATGTGCCTGCCTGCATTTACCCAAGCAGTGCTTTAAACAACTGAGCTATCCGGCAAAGCCCCAACTTTAGGAAGTTGAGAGAGATGGGTGCTACGAATCCATATTTTAAAGAAGCTGTCCAAAACACAAAAAAGCTGCCCAGGTGTTCTTCAGGAGTGGCTGAAATAAACACTCCCCAACCCTTACCCCCACTCAGTACTGAGAATCAAACCCAGGCCTTTACATTGAGCCCTGTTTTCTTTTTTTCTTTTCTTTTTTCTCCTCCTCCTCCTCCTCCTCCTCCTCCT